ACCCGAAACCCTAAACCCTAGAATCCACCCCAATAATCCCTGTTAAATCCTAAGACCGTGGCCCTTAAAACCTAACCCTGAACTGCCAAGTCACTGCTTCTGCCCATGCCTCGACAACAGGAACACCGCGTCGTTCGTGGATGCCCGCAGCAAGCGGCCGCACATCCGCGACTTGCTCCACAAGGCGGACCTGGGAGAGAAATATGCATGCGAGCTACCCTTGAATGTTGTTCTGACAACCGGGATTCAAGGATTCACAAATTAACAGATACCGTCAAAACCAAGACATGGTTTCTGCTTCAGTCTAGGCAACAGGGTTTGTCTTCAGAAGGGATGACATACTTTCAGCAGACTTCTTCAAGTCTCGCATTGTCAGGGGCTCGTCATTCTCAGAAGAAGCCGATTTGCTCAGCTGGAGGAGGGAAGACATACTAGCAAAGGCTTCAAAGGCAGGTAGTTCAGCTTTTATGACGTCTTTCACAAGCTGAACCCAGTTATGCATGCGGGCCAAGATTTCCCGCAGCACCATACCATTGCATTGGTCATGTCCTCCCAGCTTCTTCAGCCGTCCATCATCCTTCTGAAGAATAAGTGGCTGCTTCTCCAGCAAGGTCCTGAAGAGCATGTTTGAATCGGCGTAGGCACGGATTGACAAAGGATGCTAACTGCGCAGTGCTGCCCAAGAGTCTTCAAGTAGTGACCATAAGTCCCAGGTGTGTCCCATAACCGCCCATGCGAGAATAAGAATGTTATCCTGGAGACAAACCTGAGATCCGTGCTCACTTCATGCAACCAGACCAGATGCCCCAGTCACCAATCGATCTTATCATCTGAGTTACCGGAAAAGCTCTTCCTGAAACATGACGCCATCCACATCCTCTTTGTCAGCCAGCCTGACAATGAGCATGTGCTCATCATGTGCATCGGCCAGGGCAGCCAAGGTCCTGAGACATGAATTATGGCAAGGCAACACCAAAACATCAAAATCACCTCCAGTCACCACCCTCTCATACATCCAAGCCCCAAACAGGACCATCCGAATGTCTGCTGCACATAGCAGATGCGCCATTGCCCGGCCCTCGACCTTCTCAAACTTTGGGAGTTGAGGGTTCAGTGTTTTCTTGGGGTTTTGTTGGTTGGGTATAGGGCTCAAGGGCTGCCCAGTGAAAACATAAAAGCAGCAGTTGCGAGCCTTGTTCCTCCTTTCCTCTGCTACTTGCTCAACCAGCATCATGATAGCAGGAAAATGACGCACTGTGCGTCCCAGGGGTGTTCGTAGTGACTCGTACCTGCCGCGAATTTATTTCTTGACTTGAAGCTGTCCTCCTGAAGATTTTCAGCCACCAAGCAGCCTGTGCTTTGCAGCACTCAGGGATGCAATGCCCACGCCGTCGTGCTGGAGGAGGCTCACAAAGCGGGCCTAATAAGGAAAGCAATGAGGATTCAAGCTTCAGGGTGCAAATATAGGTTTGAAAGGGTTCAATAGCCAGGGTTTGGGGGCTTCACACAGACAGATCAGCAGAGATTCCCTTTCTAGGCTGTTGAGTGGTGTTTTTGGGGGTTCGTGGAGGATTAGTACATTTAATAAAAGGTTAAGGGCTCAAGGTTGTCATGCCCTTTCCAGGCCGGAGAAGACTTCGCCGCGGCTGCCGCGGGCTGCGGCTGAGTGGTTTAGGGTATAAAGGTTTAAATTGTGGTAGTGCCCTTAAGCCCCCAACCCAAACCATGAACCCTTAACCCCAAGCCCCATTCAAACACCTTAGCCCTCAAACCTGATGCTGCCCTGAGCCATACTCCGAAACCCAAAACCCCAAACCTTAATCAGGAGAAGTTAAAGTTAAGAGCAGGGTCTAGGGTTCAGGGTTGAAATGGTACTGCCCTTACAAAACAACAACATA